TATGGTAATGCTGCCCTGCTTTGGTAAAACACTGCCCCTTGTTAAAACTCATCCACTAACCACTGAGCTAAACTGGCATGTTAAGTAGCAGATCAGTGCACTCACAACCCCCCAGGCAAAGAGGCATGTAGCCCTTCCCCAAGGATCTTAAGGGCAACTCCTGCAGGTTTCTCGACACCCCCCCCCCTCGTTGGGATAGGCGGAAGACACAAGTGCAGGGTCCTATTTTGCAGACAAAAACTGTCTGAACGTCTGATTTCAGACTAGGTTTTTTCGACTTTGTCTGATTTTCCAGACAAGGGATTTTTTTGTCTGATTAAGTTAGACAAGGCTTCAGAATTTGTCTGATTGTTTTGTCTAGTGTTTCACCTTGTCTGAAATCGACTTATATGGGGTTCCATCTGGGCCCTAGTGGATAACCCCATTACGCAGTAATCGGTCGTCACCACGTGTTGTGACTGGACACTTGGTTTCAGCGAAGTGTCCCAACCGATCGCCACTCTCCCTCAATTTCCGCTTCAGCTTTGCGAGACTGTTTCGAAACTAACGGGAGGACCTAAAAGGCCCTTTAAAGAGGTGGCGGGACTAAGGGGAATGCAAGCGGAGGATATCGAGTAACAAGATCTCAAATGTGTAGTAAAAAAGAAATGAAAGTGGATATTCTCATACTAATAATTTAAGCTCTGGTATTAAATGCTAGACAAACATTTTGATTTTGTCTGACATTCAGACAAGTATCAAAATTTTCAGACAAAAAACAGAACTCTTGTCTGATGGCGCAGACAAGGGATTTTTGAAAAGAGGACCTTGCACAAGTGCCTCCACAGCGCTTGCACTGGGAATTGAACCAAAGTCACCCGGCTCTGATACCATGTCAGAACTCAATCACTAAAAGGGCGTGGTAAGTGCGCCCATAACCCCCCAGGCAGATAGATGGCATGTAGCCCTTCCCCAAGGATCTCAAAGGCAACCCCAGCGGGTCTCTCGACCAGGCCTGTCGTTATCAGGGTATTTTACCCTGATTCCCTGATTTCACAGGGTATTTTTTTGGCCAACCCTTAATTTTCAGGGTTGGGTTTTTTTGAACCCTAACCTCTTCAGGGTTGTATGTCTGTGAACACTTAAAATTTCAGGGTTTGTGTTATACCAACACTGAGTTTTCAGGGAGTAACGCGTACGAACCCTGAATGCGACATCCATGCGGACCCTGAATTTCCTCGAAATGGCCCCCTTACGCGTGACGGGGCCCAGTCCATTGAACACGCCCAGCATGCGTCACGTGGGGAATCTGCACTCGGCAAGATTCCCGCCGTATACACGCTGTATGCTGCCATTACAGCAACATTTGCAACCGTCAACTGGCATTCGTGACTCAGCACGCAGCAGACGAGGACAGAATATGATGAGCGCGGCAATGTCAGCCTCTGTATGACATCACCCCGCCAATCATCTCTGTGCAGACGATGCCAGCGCAGGTGCGTTTCGCCGTTGACGGTATCGCCATGGCGATACGGGAACCTGGATGGGTTATGCACCATCCATGAAAATCGAGAGATGGGGCTTCTTGGTCCTCTTCCCGTCTTCTTCACCAGCTCCTCCTCCAACCCGGTTTTTTTCATTTCTTCACGTCACAGCTGCGAGATGCTCCAGTCTTCAATCTCCTCTAGTTTCGTCGCGCCGATTTCTCATTTTCAGCATATCCGCCGCTTCTAGCCATGGCGGATGTAGGGGACTCTGGTGAGTCTCCCACTGCCGACGATAGTTCTGAACTAGGTAGGGACCGCCCCGTGGAGGTCCGTAGATCCGCGCTAGACATCTTGCGGTCTCCCACCGCAGTCCTTACACCATCACAACCCGTATCTACTCCCGCCGCTCCCTATGTACCTCCGCCCGCTGTCGCTTCATCTAGCCGGGGCCCTTTGGTTCCAGACTGCGAGACAGCCACGACCGTGCGTTACACGGTCGAGTGTGCGTCGACAATTTCATCTGGGAAGAAAGTACGCGTCGGGAAGTACACCCAGAGCACGATAGTCCTCGGCGGGAAGCTACATAGACCGTCGCCGCCTCGCTCGTCGCCTGAACCTCATGCCCCTGGTATTCCAGAACCCGAGCCGCCGAAGCTCTCAAAGAAGGAACTCATCGAGCAGAAGTATCTCATGGCTGAGCACAAGTATAAGACCAGCTGGCTTCCTTTTTTCCCTTGGCTTCTGCTAACAAAAACGAAAGATGGTTACCCTGCTTTGAAGTGCAGTGTGTGCAAGGCTTTCGGCAAAGAGACAACACCGTACTCCAACAGCCGCGACGGGGCACGTGACCTGCAGACGCAAGCGATGCGGTTCCACGAACACACGACAGCCCACGAAGTAGCCGTCAAGCGTCAGATGGAGATCGCCGAAGAGATCGCCAGCACCCAGAGGCGCATGGAGAATTACGCGCGGATTGACATCGAAGGGAAGCGCGTCATGAGGCTCCTACGCTGCGTCGACTTCCTGTGCAAGTGTGATGCACCCATCAGCATGTACCCGAGGCTACTCCGCTTCATGGCCGAGCAGGAGACACCGGACATTCCGCTGCAGTCTTACGGAGTCTACCTGACAAGGTAATGCACTTATTCGAAGTACACCATGTCCTTTTTTTTTCAAAAAGGTCTAACCAACACCTTGTTGTCACTTCTGCTACTACAGGTATGGCTTCTGTCAGCTCGTCAGCAGCCTGGCAACCTACCTGCAGCGCCGACAAATGCAATACATTCTCGCCTCACCCTACCTCGGCATCAGCTGCGACGAGAGCACTGACCGTACTCGCGGTAAACATCTGATTGTTTATCTGACCTTCTTGCGGGCGCATCGTGTTGTGACTGAGTTTTTTGCACTCTTGACCGTCGAAAAGTGCGACGCCGCGTCACTCCTCGCCGTTCTTCTGGCTCACTTGCGAGCAACTGGCATCGATCTCTCCCGAATCACCGGCATGAGCACCGACGGCGCCTCTGTCATGGTCGGCCGAGACAACGGTCTCGTCGCCCGACTTCGCGAGCACATCCCCCATCTCGTCTCTTCGCACTGCATCGCCCACAGGTTTAACCACTTGTCATTTCAGTCGCTTAGGTGTCCTACAAGTGCTTGACTAAAATTCCCTTGTGTGCACCATGCAGGGAAGCCTTGGCGGTGAAGGACGCGGCCACTGCTTCTCCAGACTTCGACATGGTCGACCTTGTGATTCGGACTCTGGCCGATCTTCTGGGACGTTCATGTGTCTGGAGTCAACGCTTCAAGTACCTGCAGCGGGCAATACATAACACCAACCTTGAAGTGCAAGGAATTCACACCGTGCGCTGGCTTTCAAGGGGTGAGGCTGTGAGGCGCCTTTGTAAGGTCCTCGGCGCCGCTATCATTCTCTTCTATGAGTACGGGCATGAGCTGTATGAGGTGGTTATCTGTTACAAGTTCCAGTTTTGTCTTTTTTTCCTGGCGGACGTCCTCGGAGTGATGAATGAGCTCAACCTCAAATTCCAGAAGAGGGAGGTGAGCTTCTATCACCCTGCATGTAATTTTTGTCCCATGCATGCACGTTTGGAATCACCCTCTGACTCCACTCCGTCGTCTGTCACATCCACCAGGTCGATGTCACCGAAGTGACGAAGGACATCGACGAGGCGACAGGGGACCTCCGCCACCGCTACTTGGAGTGCGGAGAGGTGTTCGGCGGGGGTGTCGAAGGCACGTGGCTTTCGGCTTTCTTGGCGGTCTACGGGCGCGGAGGGGGCAAACGCGTAAAGGTGCGGGGCATCGACAAGGACGGCAACCCAGTCACGCACACCTACACCATGCACGAGAAGCAGATCGACGGGCATGCCTTCCGCAGCAAGTACCCCGATTGCGAGCGGCTCTGCGCGCAATTCGCGAAGGACACGATAAGCTTCCTGAAGACGAGGATGCTGGACCTGAACAATCTCGGCCCGACGAAGCTCTTCCGCGTGTCGAAGTGGCCCCGGATGAAGCAGCAGAGAGAGAAGAAGCTGAAGGAGTACCTACATGGCTGCAGTGCCTTGTTCGACAACAGGCTGACAGGCTTTTCCTTGCAAGCTGCGCAGAAGGAGCTGGTCACGTGGGCGCCACTGATGCTGAGCCACCATGCCGACGAAGGATTCCATCAAGGCCTGACGAACTACCTCGGCTCGACGGAGTCGACCTTGTGAGAGAGTGCTGCTCGAAGGACGATTATTGATTTTCCTTTTGGGCGGTTTCATTGTTTCCTTTATCAGTTGTTGTTTATCGATTGTTGACAAGCATTGCTAATGCACTGGTCTTGTTCCATGTACTCTATTCCCCCAACCCTTCTGGCAGGCGCTGGCCCAACCTCATGCGCTTGTGGCAGGCATGCGCTGTCCTGCCGCTTAGCACAGTGGAGTGTGAACGAGGCTTCTCGCGGCAGAACGTCATCAAGTCATGGGTGCGGGGCGCGTTGTGCAATGCGCGCCTCAGCGAGCTGATGGTCATTTCCCTGCTGCAGTACGAGACTGACTGGGACGAGGCCATTGGGTGCTGGCGCGAGAAGCTGAGGCGCCCTGCTAAGTCTGTTCTGTTTGCCGCAGCGGAGAGGAAGCGTAAGGCGAAGGCGATTGAGGGGGCAGAAGTGAGGGTGGAGGAGGAGGCAGTCCCCGACTACATGGGGGATTGGGCAGAGGATGAGGGAGAGGAGGAGGGGGGAGTGGGGGCAGTGGGGGGAGAGGCTCCTGAAGAGGAAGACAACCCCTTTCTGTCCGATGACGACGCAGAAGACGAAGTGAACATGGATGGCCCAGAATTTTAGTCAAGTGTAGCTAGTGGCATGGAATATTGTGAAGTCTAGACTAGATAGAGGACTTGTAGACTGGCGTGGCGTAGTGGTGCTTTTACTTAACTAGTAGCTGTACATTCCTAGTTGATTTTTTCCCAAGTACAATGCAACCCTGATTGTTGCAAGCCAACCCTGGAGGTTTCAGGGTTGTAAATTCCAGAACACTGAGAAATCAGGGAAGTCAAAATACCAACACTAGGCCCTCAGGGTAAAAAATTTTCCCCATTCGACAGCTCAGGGTGGTTTTTTTTGAAACGTCAGCCCTGCTCTCGACACCTCTACATAGGCTAGGGGGTGTGTCAACAAACATATTTGTATATCTAACCTAACTAGGACAGCTCTTAGAGGGGACAACACTTTGCATTTGTATCTCCCCTCCCCCTCTTCCTAGTCATCTTTTTTTTGCTATTCCAATAGTTATTCTGATCGTGACTAACCAGGCTGAAAACAACTTCATGGTAGATTTATGCGTATTGTGTGAGGCAAGCTGTGCTGTTACAGGGGGCAAAAGGGAGAGTGTTTGGTGCTATTATGGCTTCGGTGGTAAAAACAAAAGGCTTGTGGAAGTCTCCGTGCTGAAAATCAGCCTCAACGAACAGTGCCCGATAGCCCACCTGAGCATAGAAACGTGCAAAGAGGGAGAACGGGAGAAAGGGAGAAAGATGCCAGAAGGGGGAGGAAATCAACAGAGTTGAAAGAGGATGATTAAAGTGGTAACGCTTACCAATATTCCTGTTGGGAATTTGGGGGTCTGTTAGGTGCTCTACTTTGAGAAAGGCGCTGAGCACCCCAGTACATAGTTGGATGGGCATATAACACCCCATAGTATTGGAACTTCCAATTTGGAAGGGCGTATAACACCACAGAATATGACTGGAAGGGCATATTAGTATGACTGGAAGGGCATATAACACCAGAGAGTATGACTGGAAGGGCAAATAACACCAGAGAGCATGACTGGAAGGGCATATAACACCAGAGAGTATGACTGGAAGGGCATATAACACCAGAGAGTATGACTGGAAGGGCATATAACACCAGAGAGTATGACTGGAAGGGCATATAACACCAGAGAGTATGACTGGAAGGGCATATAATACCAGAGAGTATGACTGGAAGGGCATATAACACGAGAGAGTATGACTGGAAGGGCGTATAACACCAGAGAGTATGACTGGCCGTATAGCATCCAGACTATGTTTGGAAGGGCGTATAGCACCCCAGAATATGATTGGAAAGGTGTGTAGCACCCCAGTGTATGTTTGGAAGGGCGAATAACACCCCTGTATATGATTTTAGGATATAGCTTTTCTCGTTTTTAGTGTTCGGATAGAACACTCACTTTCAGAATGTGAGAAATCCCGGCTCAACATATTGTACCACACAAGGTGGAAAAATACGGGTTTTGTATTATACGGTTCGTTTTATACGGCCAAAAAAAAAAACGACCGTTTTTTTAATAAACATTTTTGGGCACCTTAAAAAAAACAAAAAAAAACAAAAAACAAAAAAACCTGCAGAAACAGGTTGCATCGTGGCTACGATGGTTTACTCAGGGCTAAGGGGGCTAACAAACAGTTCTACAGGTACATGTCTTGAATCTTTGTCCTCCTCCTCTGCCGTGTCTTCCCCCCCACTATCACCCTCACACCGTCTCAAAACATTAGCAACACTCACAAATGAAGTACCACGGTGCATCCAAAAGTGATTACAATTTAATTACAAAATTTTTTCCCCAGGTTTTGGCTGGTTAAAAAAATACAACCGTATTATACAACCGTTTTTTTACACCAACCCGAAAACGCATCTCAGGACCGTTTTAAACGGCAGAATAAAACGATTCTGTATTATACGGAAAAAAATAAAATACGACCGTTTTTTTGCACCTTGGTACCACAGTAGGCTTGAGCATCGGCCCAACTCGACCCAAGGTCGGGTTTGGGTCGGGTCGGGTCGGGTCAGGTCGGGTCGGCCTTTGCAGTTGGATGATCCGACCGACTTGGGTAATATACAGGTCGGGTCGGTCGGGTATTACCTGACCCGGGTTCGGGTCGGGTTGGAACGGGTCGGGTCGGCATAAGGACAGAAGTGTGTAATAAGCCGACCCGAGGGGTTGGGTCGACCCATTACAAATGTCAACCCGACCCAGGAAAAACTCAGGTTAAGGGCGGGTCTACCCGACCTGACCCGACCCTTTGCTCAACCCTAAACCCCAGTCACCTTCAGAAAAACATGGTACCCAAATTTCATCTCACGCTTCACTTCACTCACCTTGGGAATGTCTTGGATTGTGGAGCTGAAGTGCCAGAGGCCATCAGCTTGCACTGTAGGCGGTGTGACTGTATGCAGGAGGAAGGGGATGGGCTGGAAACAGAGCATGCCAAACTTCGCAATGTAGTTGGGCAGCAGACTCTTGAAAGGGATAATGCTGGAGGGGGAGAGGGCAGGAAGGATGGGAAGAAGAACAGTTACAAACGAGGTGTCTCAGAAGAAACATATGGAAAAGGCTTGACGATAACAACGCTGGAGAGGGGCCATGCCGGGAGACTGAACGCAAGAGAGCCACCCAGTTTTGGTTACATGTGAATGGAGAGGTCGCGAAAACAGTGGGAAGCAGAGGAGCTCACCAGGCAGATGCTACATGCAGACAGACTACTTACCAGGCACAGGACCACATACTCTCCACAAAAGAACAAAGAACCAAGTGACCGCACCAAGTTTATGATACTAGAAGTCAGACAAAAAGGGTTGATTTTAGCATAACTATTCTGCATTATCACTCACCATCCTTTGACCCCCTGCTTCACTAAAAACCGGAAGTCCCTTCTTCTACTGCCCAGAATGGTGCGCCCTGTCCTGGACGGAAGAACGGGAGAGGGGTAGGGGGACACACAGTTGAGTTGAGGCCTGGAAGGCACGCTGGACTTTTGAGGTGCCTGGAAAACCACTAGTCCCTTCGACTCATTCTGGGCAGAGGGGTGGGGGGAGACACGGTTGAGGCCTGTAAGGCGTGCCTAACTTTCCAGGTGCCTGGAAGACCGCTGGTCCCTTCAGCTACTGCCCAGAATGGTGCGCCCTGTCCTGAAAAGGCGAGGGAGGGTGTGAAGAGGTGGGTTGGGGGGGGGGTTGTTGAAGGGGGACCAAGTTGAGACCAAGAAGGTTCGACTAAACGCACTGAACGCAATTGGAGGCCAGCATAGCTGTGGTTGCAGCTGTGGCTGTGGCTGCGGCTGCTGCGGTTGCGGCTAGACCTACGGGTCCATGAGGGTACTGGCAACTGTGGTCCTTAGAGCCGCCACAAACAATGTTACTTCTGAGTGTGGCTGTGGTTGTGCCTACAGTCCATGATAGTTCTGCCATCCTTAGAGCCACCGCAAAAGCCCGTCTCAGGAGCTGTGCCTCAAGGTTGCACTTAAAAAGGGAAGTGGAGTCTAGATGGAATAGAAGGTCAACGCTACCCCGCCCCCTCCTTCCCAATCCCTGCCTCACCACGCTCTAACAGCCAATGGCTTCCTGTCTGACGTGGCATGGATGGTGAACGTGGACCAATCAAACCGCCACCTCAGCTGAGGCCAGTCGACAGCGGGCAGCTCCGGCACGCAGCCCCAAGGGGGGGTCTGCATGGCTGCTACAGCTGCTCCCTCTGCTGCTCCCACTGCTCCCGCAATTTCTGCTCCCCCCGCAGCTGCCTCTGCCTCTGGGAGACTAGACGAAGGGAACGTTGGTGAGCTGGTAGCAGGCGAATGTTGAGGGGCAGGTGAATGTTGAGGGGCAGGTGAACGTTGAGGGGCAGGTGAATGTTGAGGGGCAGGTGAATGCTGAGGGGCAGGTAAATCAGGAGAATTCTGGGGGTTGAGGGGGGATGGGGTGGTGGGGGTGGTGGGGCGGGCCCAGGTGAGGGAGGGGCGGGAGGAGGCGGGGAGAGAGGCACAGGAGGAGTTGGCGTGGAGGAGAGAGGAGAGGAAGGAGATGGACGCATCGTAGGCCTGCAACAGAAACGGGGGGAGGAGGGGGGAGGGGGAGGGAAGAGAAAAGTGGAGGGTAAAAAAACAAAATCGCTGAGGAGGGAGGCAAGCATTGTAGGCCTGCAGAAGGCTCACTTGCTCTCATTGCCTCAGTGGAAGAGTTGAACGAAGAACCAAACTGAAGTGAGTGGGCCATACCGATTGAAGAGGGAATTGTGAATGACCATGTGGCCGAACAGAAGTTTGCAACCACGATTGAGGCGGCAATGTGGGATGGGGAGGTGCATCAAAGCGGATGGGAGGTGAGAACGTGAAGAGTGCTGGATAATACCCATTGGGACATGTGGGCAAGGTGTGCAACCATGTTGAGGGGCTAGACCATATGCCATAGACCAAACCCAAGGGAACATGCACGTGTGTCGAGGTTTGCAAAGAACTCACGGCAATGATGGCGAATGGGAAGAGCGCTGAGCCATACCCATTGAAAAAGGGGAGGGCGCTGGACCGTGCGTATTGATATTGGGGAGGGCGCTGGACCGTGCGTATTGATATTGGGGAGGGCGCTGGACCGTGCGTATTGATATTGGGGAGGGCGCTGGACCGTACCTATTGATATTGGGGAGGGCGCTGGACCGTGCCTATTGATATTGGGGAGGGCGCTGGACCGTGCCTATTGATATTGGGGAGGGCGCTGGACCGTGCCTATTGATAATGGGGAGGGCGCTGGACCGTGCCTATTGATAATGGGGAGGGCGCTGGACCATGCCTATTGATAATGGGGAGGGCGCTGGACCATGCCTAATGATAATGGGGAGGGCGCTGGACCATGCCTATTGATAATGGGGAGGGCGCTGGACCGTGCCTAATGATATTGGGAAAAGCACAGAAGCAACGGCACTGCACCATACCCATTGGGACATTTGAATGGCATCATGCTCGAGGTTGGCAACGATCTTGAGAAATGTGGGTGGTGGAAGGTCCTTGAGGTAATAGTAGCTGGGGAGAGAATGGGGAGGTGCATCACAGCTGGAAGGTCCTTGAGGTAATAGTAGCTGGGGAGAGAAGGTGGAAAATGTGAGGAGCAAAGAATGAGCATGGAGCTGAGGCGCACATAAGTAAAGCACGGAAACACTACTAATGAAACACACTTGAGGCTACCAATCACAGGCACAGTGCACAGCAGCAGGGGGACGTTGTGTATGGAGACAGCTCAGCAGTAAAATAACCTCAAAGGAATGCTGAAAGTGTGCTGTACACGTGCTTCAAAAGAATGCCCTTATGTGCCACTAAAGAGAAAGCCCCTCCGCGCCACAAACAAAATGCGCTTATACGTCATAAGAGAGAGTGCCCTTACACACCTCACTTGAGAGAGTGCCCTTACATGCCACTCCGGAGGCTAATGGCCTATGTGTCACTGAAGGAGTTGAGTGTGCATGTGGATAAGGCGGAGGATGACCTCATATGTCACTTACGAGGATGCCCTAACGTGGCGCTTAACGTCCAAATCTCAAAATTCCTCAACCCGAGTTAACGAGAGGTATGTGGGCTGAGAAAACGCAAAACTATTGGGCGTGAAATTTAAGGGAGTGTGCTAAACTGGGCCGAACTGGGCGCAGTTTGACCCCTTCGAGTAATTTAAGACCAGGGCTTGAAGGGATGCCCTAACATGTCACTGAAGAGGATGTTGTAACATGTCGTTGAGGTGTCACTTAAGAGGTCATGATACATGCCCCGTGCCACAAAAGAGGTCATGATACATGACCCGTGCCCCGTGCCACTAAAGAGGTCATGATACATGCCCCGAGTCACTAAAGAGGTCATGACTTACGTACGTGCCCCGTGTCACCAAAACGGGACATGACTCACACGGCCTGTGTCACCAAAAGAGGTAATGACTTACGTGTCGTCCATGTAGCAGACCTCGTCATTTGAGGCAGAAATAAGCAGCTTGGGCATGGTCAGGCGGTCCCGGAAATTATAAGGGTCTGTGTAGCTCTAGTGATCAGAGCGAGGGGGGCGGGGACAACAAGGAAGGTGGGGAGGGAGTGGGAAAGAAGAGGAAGAGGGAATTAAGTGAAGGAGGAAAGGGGGCCAGGGGAATGGGGGGATGCCCTAACGTGGGAGGGCGAGCAATGTTGAAGGTGAGGATGCCTATGAACTTTATAGCTTTTAGGCATGAAATTTTTGTATGCGGTTGTGCTAACCAACCCAATGGATAACACCCTTTTCACGTCTGTATATTAGTCTCAGCCTGTCACAGGAAACAAGTATGACGTAGCTGCACACACCAGCATCAACCACACCAATATTCCCTCCCTCCCTACACTCACCAATATTCCCTCCCTCCCTACACTCACCAATATTCTTCGCTGCTGTGGCGATTCAGCATGCGAGTCGAGTTGTAGTCGGCATAGAACTTGGCCTGAATAGGCACGGCCCCCAGGGAAAAGGCACGGCCCCTAGGGAAAAGGCACGCCCCCCAGGGAATAGGCATGGCCCCTAGGGAATAGGCATGGTCCCCAGGGAATAGCAATGGCCCCTAGGGAATCTTAGAGAAAAATGCTGCAGCTGGTCCCCTCCCTCTGCTCAGCAGTATCGGGCACTTCTCTGCGGATTCCAACATGCTGGTCACCTTGTAGTCCAACATGCTGGTCACCTTGTAGTCCAACATGCTGGTCACCTTGCAGTCCAACATGCTGGTCACCTTGTAGTCCAACATGCTGGTCACCTTGTGGTCCAACATGCTGGTCACCTTGTAGTCCGCGGCAGGATAGGCAACAGCTCCAGTGGAGTCAATCAGATGCTGCACCCTGTGCCCTAACCAATCCGTCTGTCCGTCCGTCCGTCCCTCCCTCCCTCCCTCCCTCCCTCCCTCCCTCCCTCCCTCCCCTCACCAGGATTCTTCTCATCTGTGGCGAGTCCAGCACGCTGGTCACGTTGTAGTCCGCGTAGAAGCGGGCCAGAACGGGCATGGCGCCAGTGGAGTCGATCAGATGCTGAATGTTAGGCCCGAAGTTGATGAGATCGAAGCCGTAGGATATGAAGGCCACCACTCGCTGCGATCACACGAACAAAGATAACACATGAGGAGTGGAGTGCGAGAAAGAGGGATGAGAGGAGATGCGGTGTGAAGTGAACAAAGATAACACGTGAGGCAAGGTACAAAATACGGCCGTTTTTTTCATTTTCAGGCCGTATGGTACGGTACCTTACGATACGGCCGTTTAATTCGGAAAAAAACGATAGGTGTAATGTGGATTTTTTGTGTGCAAAAATACGGTCGTTTTTTACGACCGGTTTTTTAGTTCCATCATGTACATGTTTCAATCTCGAATTCGAAACACATTTCGATGGTTGAGTGTACACCCATCCGTCGGCAAATTTCAAGTCAATGAGTTCCCGAGGCGCGCGAGCGACACACAACCGAGCCGCGCATTTCAGGGATTTCGCGAAGCCCGTTGCGAAACATTTGTCCGTTTCGCAACGGGTCTCATAGATATTTCGGGCCCAGTAGCGTGCGTCGCGCATTTCGTGGCGCACACTACTGAGGCGCATTTCGATTTCGAAATCCCTCCCCTACCCACCCAATCTTGCCTTCAACTTTCCACCCAACACCTGCATGACGAAATACAAATACAGAGCACAAACAGAGAGGTAAGAATCAGAGTTTTTTGCAAGTAGAATTAGGTTCCTAAGTTCGCGCAGCCTCCTTTCAGGCTCTCCACCCCGTCGATTTCTAGAGTTCGATCATCCGCATCGCAACTATAGCCTTGTGCAAATAATCCTAGGTTCGCCCGCTCGCGTTTCAGCCATGCCCCGCACCCCGTCTAGTATGTGGGAGCATGTGACGAAATTATGTGACGAGCAAGGCATGACCGTCCGCGTCGAGTGCAACCATTGCCACATGAGCGTCACGGCAAATGCGACGCGGATCCGGGAGCATCTTTTCGGCACGCCGGCATCCAAATTCCGGAACATTGCTGAGTGCAAGTCTGAATTTGCGAAGAATCTCCGCGTCAACGGTCAAAGCTCGACGACCACGGCCATGGTCCGCGGATCAACAGCCACCGTCGGGGGACCGGCGGGCAAGCGCAGTCGCAACCGCGACATCCGTGGCATGGTGGACAAGGCGGGCCGCGATGCCCTCGATCTCCTATGGGCGACGGCCGTGGTGGAGAACGACTTGGCCTTTCGGATTTGCGCGTAAGTGTGCTTCAACCATGCGATGCGACGTTTGCTTCTACAACAGCCCCACTCCCCCTCTTCACCCTCGCCATCTCTACCATGCATCGCCATAAGTGTTTCTCCCCTTATTCGCCATAGTTAGTTCTTTTGCCATCCCCGCTCCCCCTTCGCCCCTCAAACAGCTCACCCTCCATGCAAGCGTTTGTCGAGGGCGTTGTGGCGTACGGCAAGGAGTACAACTTGCCGAGCGCCTACTCGGTCTCCCACCCGCTCCTCGCTAAGCTTAAGGCCGAGACCGAGACCCTCATGCAGCCCCTCAAGGACTCATGGGCCTCGACCGGTTGCTCCTTATCCGTGGACGGGTGGTCGGACCTGAAGAGCCGCGGTCTCGTTTGTATCATAGCCATGAACGACACCGCGCCCGTGGTGGTCGACGTAGTTGACACAAAGACGAACAAGAAAACGGGTGCCTACCTTGCAACACTCATTGGGGAGGCGATTTGCAAGGTGGGTCACACTCGCGTTGTCCAAGTGGTGATGGACAACGCGAGCAACAATAAGAGGGCGGCCCTGGACCTTGGGGATAGATATCCTTCTGTTTTTTTCACCAATTGTGCGGCACACTGCTTGGATCTCATGTTGGAAGACCTCGGGAGTATTGGTGTGATAAAGCGGGTCTTGCAACAAGCTCACGGGGTGGTCATGCTTGTGAAGACGAGCGCCACCGCGGTCAACCTCTTTCGAGAGGTGTATAGCGAGCTTGAGCTTGTCCGACCGGGTGCCACTCGGTTTGGTACCCAAGTCATCATGGTGCAGCGGTTTTTGGAGGTAAAGAAGCAATTGAAAAGCATGGTCATCTCCGAGGAGTGGTTGGATGTGCCCGCCGCGAAAACCAAGGAGGGGCAGCACATCGCCCAGGTTCTCCTCGATGAGGCATTTTGGGGCTCGGTGGAAGCGGTCCTGAAATTGATGACCCCGGTGTACGAGGTCCTTCGGGCAACGGACAAGCGGACTCACCTCATGGGGCGAATTTATGGGATGATGCTCGACGCCACCATGAAGACCAACTCAGCGGCCGAGGCTGCAGGTTTGTTTCCCACCCCCTTCCGCCCTCCAAACCTAGCATTGTCCTCACCTCCCCTTGACTCTCTTGGTTGACTGTCCAACCCTCCCAATACCCCCCACTCACTTGGCCCATTTATGCCTTGTGCTTGATAGGGCAGCCACATTTTTTGTGCGGCGGACGGGCTTGCTCTTGGCCAAGGACAAGGCCTCGTTCTTGGCCAAGGTAAGGCGGATTATAGCTCGGCGTTGGGACGCCCAGCTACATAACCCGTTGCATGCTGCTGGATATCTCCTTAACCCGGCCAATCAGTTTGCCGAGGAGGTTCGGGGCGACGACGAGATCGGGAAGGGGATGAAGAACGTGATTGACAAATAGGAGACGGATATGCAGCGCCGCACCCTCATCCACGCCCAACTCGCCCGCTTCCATTGTGGGGAGGGGAGCTTGGGGGGCAAGGATGCTCGGTGGGCAACTTCCGCGCTTGTGGAGAGCGGGAAGCTCTCCGAGGCAGAGTGGTGGACCATCTTTGGGGGGGAAGTCCGAGCGCTGCAGGATCTGGCGGTCCGGATTCTCTCCCAATCAACAACGGCGTCGGAGGTAGAGCGTGCATGGTCGGCATTCAGCCGGGTGCAGCGGCGAGATCGTAACCGGCTGAAATCCGCCACCATGATCGACGTCACAGTGGTGGCGTTCAGCCGGCGATCTAGAGCTGCATTTGACAGGAAGCAAGCGGCCCGAGACCGCCTTACGAACAACTCGGGGCGGGCATGGTGGAGGAAGGGAGAGCACCTCACCCCCCCCTTGCTGCAGAACAGGGGGAGGGAGAAGGGGTGGGGGAGGAGGAGGTGATGGAGGAAGAGGAGGGTGCTGAGGAGCGCACCATTGACTGGGCCTCCTTTGGGAGCAGCGGCGAGAAGAAGAAGCGCAAGAGGAAGGCAGGAAACGGGAAGGGGGGGAAGAAAAACAGCGGTTCCCATAAGGGGAAGGGTAAGCTTACCATGGGAGAGGAGGAACGGGCAGCAAAGAGTGCATGCAAAGGCAGACGCGAGGAGCAGGAGGAGGAGAGCCGCGGGCCATGGGATTTCAACGGGGCAGAGGGTGAGGGGGAGGGGGGGGGGGAGAGGGGGAGGAGGAGGACGACGAGGAGGACGACGAGGAGGAGGGGGAGGGGGAGGGGGAGGGGGAGGGGGAGGGAGAGGAGGAGGAGGACGACGACGATGACGACGAGGAGGCGTAGCGGTAGAAGGAAGAATAAGAGAACAGGAGTAGGAGGAGTGGGAGTGACAGGAGGGGCTGCATGAGGATGCATGGGAGGAGGAGTAGGAGTAGGAGGAGAAAAGTGGGAAGGGCAGGAGGGGCTGCATGGGGGTGCATGGTAGAGGAAGCCTAGTAGTATGAGTAGGGGGAGTAGGAGTTTGGGCAGTAGGAGGAGCTGGAGGGGCTACATGCGGGTGAGTGCATGGTAGGTGGAGGAGGAGGAGAGGAGGAGGAGGAGGACGGTCTTACCTCGTTTTAGGGACTTATCTTGGACGACGTTGCCACTAGCAGTCGTAGCTAGATGCCCCTTTTTGTTTAGGCAGTTAAAAAAAAAATCCTGCAACAAAAAATCCCTCTAACAAAAATTCGGCGTTTTTTTCCCAAAATCACCGAAAAAAACCATCGAAAAATACCATCGAAAAAAACGTCCTGCCGCAATTTTGCACCTTGACGTGAGGAGTGAGCGGCGAGAAAGAGGGGTGAGAGGGAGGAGCTGGAGTGTCAAGTGACATTAGTGCGGGCTGCATGCTGGACCCGAAGTTGATGAGATCTAAGAAGTACGATATGGAGGCCACCACTTGCTGCAAAGAATAAGGACATGCCATCAAACCGAGGATGGGAAGAATGAGCTGCGCTGCATGCTGCCAGGCTCCAGTAAAAGAAGAGCCCGGGAGGCTGGGGTTGCCTTTGAGTCAAGTCAGAAGCTGCATACCTCCAGTGGAAAGCAGAGCGTGCGGATCGGACCTGCCTCCTGATCACTTGCCTCCTATTCCCCTTCCTCCCAATCACCTGCCTCCTATTCATCTGCCTGCGAATCACTTGCCTGCTAATGACCTGCCTGCTAATCACCTGCCTGCTAATCACCAGCCGCTCGATCACCTGCCTTATCAAGCGCTGCAGAGAGCCATGCTGCGAGAGCTCGCTTGCTCACGCCTACAGCCAAAAACCCTTCCACCTGGCAGGAGAGAACAGCGGAATGCAAGGGACGCTGGGATGGGTGAAGCCGTGCATCGATTGGGCCAACTGTGCGGCTCATGCCCACCACCACAAACCCTTCCACCTGACAGGAGCGGAGCAGCAGAGTGAAGCAGGGATGGGGGAAAACGTGCATAGAATTGACAGCTTGTGCAGTTCACCGCCGTGGCAAAAACCATATCACCTGACTGACAGGGGATGACTCGGATGACTCACTTGGCCATGGGCAGGAAGCTACGTTGAAAAAATCGCTCATTCGGGCGTGCACTTTGCGATAAACCACACAATATGATGTGGTTTACCCCCCCCAAATCCCCAGTTTTCTCCGCCTGCCCACAAGGATTTTTACCTGCCTGACCATGCGGTTTTGAAGCGCATTTCCTACTCCCCCCTCCAGCGGATTGCGCTTAACTGCAAGCGTACAAACCACAAACCACGGATTTTCCAAATTAGGCAGGTAGGCCGGCCACTCGAGTGTGCTTTTCTCTCACCAGCGTGTGTGGCAGGGCACGAACAAGCCGACTTACCGGCACACATGACAGTAGCTCCCTGGCAGCTAGCTGCACGGCATCCATCCTCGAGTGACCGACTAGCATCCATGCTCCACAACGCGCATCCATTCGTTTGTGACTGCATGCATTCACTCGACTCACCGGCACGTGAGGCAGCAGCTCCCTGGCAGCCAGCTGCACGGCATCCATGCCTCGGATGACCGACTTGGCCATGGGCAGGAAGATGGGCCACTCGGGGGTGGTGGGGTCGTGAAAGGCCATGGCCAGGGTGACTGATGGGACATGGAAGGGGAGCGTGACTGATGGGACATGGAAGGGGAGCGTGACTGATGGGACATGGAAGGGGAGCGTGACTGTTGCGACATGGAAGGGGAGCGTGACTGTTGGAAGACTGAGCCGGCTAGAGACAAGCGCTAAGGGTGTGCACTCAAGACCTCACATTCTCTCGTGCTCCCACAGGAACTCATGCTCCCACAGGCTCTCATGCTCCCACGTGCTCTCATGCTCCCACATGCATGCATGCAGGGAGCTGCTCCTCTATCATGCCCTGACCTGACACTACTGCTCCCTGGTGAATTTGTTCGAGAAGTTTCCCTCTCATGAAATCATGCCCTCACATGCTCTCATGCCCTCACATGCTCTCATGCCCTCACATGCTCTCATGCCCTCACATGCTCTCATGCCCTCACATGCTCTCATGCCCTCACATGCTCTCATGCCCTCACATGCTCTCATGCCCTCACATGCACTCATGCCCCCATGCTCTGATGCCCTCTCGTGCACGCATGCCCTCACGTGCTCCCGTGCGCTCACATGCAGGGAGCTCCTCCTCTATCAAGCGTTGGCTGCTGACACCAGGAGGGCTGGAGTAGAAGCTGATGGGCATCATGGGTATTTCGTGGAGCATCACGCCGAGTATGCCCAGATCCACCACCATGCTGCATGTGGGGCATGAAAGAAGGGGTCGCCGTGAAAGAAGGGGTCGCCGTGAAAGAAGGGGTCGCCGTGAGAAGCGGGCAGAAGGAAGGAACAGAAGCTGATGGGCGCCGTTGCCTCTGCGTGGTGCATCACGCCTAGGATGCCCAGATCCACTAACATGCTGCAAAAGTGGGACATGGGAAAAGGGGTCAACATATTCATCTATCGCGGAGCTGATGGGCGTCATGGGCTCCTCCTGCAGAGGTGACTTTTGAGTCGACTCAAAAGTCACCTCATGGGCTTTTGAGTCGACTCAAAAGTCACCTCATGGGCTCCTGCGGCAGCATCACGCCCAGGAGTCCCACATCCGCCCGCCACCATGCAGCATGCTGGATGGACGGTTGGCTGGACCCTGAGCTCATGCCTATGGTGCATCATGACTCCCAGATAGCCTTGATTAACCACCAGACTGCGCCACCACACTGCCACACTCACACTCTAGCCCCCACGGAATATCTAACCGCTATGCACACTCTAACCCTCTGGAGAATGTAACCCCCACACACAGTCACTCACGGGGCAGCAACGCGGATGAAGACGTCGCTACTTTTGGGAACGCGGACGGCCCTCTCCCATCTGCGCGGGGTGTTCCACCCCGCCCCCACGAAGAACAGCACTAGACCCTTGCTGGCGTTCCGCATGTCGTCTGGCGCCTGATGGGAGAAAAGGTGGGGAGGCGTGGGAGGGGGAGGGCGAGTATGCCTAGCTGCTGTGGTCACTCCACCCAGCCTCAACGAAGAAGAGCATGCGGCCCTTGCTGGCCGTCAACGTTTCGTCTGGCGCCTGGCAGGAGATGAGGAGGGGCAAAGAGAGTCATATATGGATGATGACATTACTTTGGATGCCGAGATGAGCATGGATGGATTGGACTCGCAGTAGGTTGGAAGACAAAACTCCATTGCTTCATTCACTCGGAGGACGACTTCAGCTGATCCTTATGCTGACCAACTGTCGTGTAACATGCCTGAGATGTGAACGTGCACTTCCGCTGCGCCCTTCTGGTAACCTCGTTTTGACCCAGTGGGTAGCGTAGCGAGGCGTCATACTGGAATCAGAGCCTAGGGTTCGAATGTCAAGTGGTCAAATTTTCCACTAGATGCGAGAAATTGAATGTGGTAACCAGTTGCGAATCCAGCGAACAATCCTAGCCGCTGGCCTAGTCCACCAGCAAAGTCGCTGACTTGGGACTCCAGCGAAATCTGAAGTCCTTGTGGGGGCGGACTCCCTGAGCCAACGAGGACGTTGGCGCCAGAGGGGGACGAGAGTAACGTACGTGAGATGTGAACGTGTGATTCCGCTGCGCCCCTCTCGTGTTGACTTGACACATTGAGCGCGGTGTGGTGCGGCTATGCCTGCCAAGCACAGCATGGCTCTACTAGGCAGACACAAGGCCAGTCTGTCAGTACCCGTGCTCACAATAAGCGTCAGGTGGTGCCACCAAACGGATCTGTCTGTAACGGATTCGTTGAGCCACCGCAGGGTTGTCACCAGCAGCACATACCCCGTCCACCACCCCCCCCGCTCCTTGGCTCGCATGCGGTTACCCGTGTCCTCCCAGCTGTCAACAGCGGCACAGAGAGCAGTAGGGAGGGGAGAGGGCAGTCAGCAAGATGGTTTGTCACCAGCAGCACACTCCCCGTCCACCAGCCCCCTGGCTCCTTGGCTCGCATGCGGTTACCCGTTTAGTTTTCTTTTCTTCTCTTTTTTGTTAATAAGGAAACCATACATTATACAGACAATGTAGGGCAACCTCAGTTGCAAGTGTTTCGTGGGGGCCTAGGTATGATGCGGTTACTCGGGTCCTCCCAGCTGTGCACACACATATTGAACGATTAATACTACTACAACGAGTTAGTGCAATAGGGATGGACTTGTTTTTTGCTAAGAACAAAATGCAGCTTGCGACTGGCCTCACCTAAATTCCGCATCCGCGGTATAAACATATTCATCCAGCAACGTGCCGCTACAGTTCCGCCCCGTTTCGCACACGTTTGGAGGGAAAGAGGACGGTCCAACGGACCTTCCTCGACCGGAATCCCGGAAATAATCTCGAAAAAGCAGGCCGCGGGCGCTACTAGGCTGGACTTCGAAAAACGCAAAATAAGCGAAGACGGTAGCAGTAAGCGCCGCAGCAGCGACGAGTGGAAGCAGAATGCCGCCGCGACGGCTAAGATCCGCCTGAATGCTATGCCTTACTATTGAAATGCGGCTCGTAATACCAGACCCTGAGGGAGGCCGTGTGCCGGACATGATGAGCTGCGTGCTTACTGCTACCAGCTTAGTAGGTTTTTAACCTGCATCCCGTGGACCATAGCACCATAAGATCCTTGGGAGCACCACAGCGCGGAGTCGTCGCAGCGGCGACGTTCCAGTGGATTCAGGTAGTATGGAGAGCACTAGTACGTGTACCAGGCATTAATCTGCAAACCACAGACTGTACTGCGTCTCCCTGGGGTGCATTCCGCACCTGGACTGGTAATGCTGGTGACACATTCTCTCGCCCTCTGCTGCACCTTGCTAAGCTGGATGAAGGGCCCGACCTGCGGGGCGAGATACTGAGTGTTGGGGGATGCCCTCATGATGATTGGTTCATATCTGACGGACAACGCAAGCGAGGAAAACACGTGAATCAAAGTGACCAATTCGAATCTGCGAACGCAAACCTCCGCGATCGAGAAGAATGTCGAAAGCCAGGCAGGCAATGGTGCGACCAACGGGAGGCTGCCGAGGTGGTGTGGAAAAATAAGGGTCTGACCACGTCTCTGACGCGTGTCTGAAGGACCGGCCTGGAATAAAAACTCGTATTACTCCAGAAACCCATTATTCGTATAAGCCCTCGCAATGTGAAGTTCGATAAACAATAAAATCGTGCAAGGTATATGTATATGCAGTGCACTTCTTGTAGCTTGGTTCCTGATGTCCTTAGGAAAGCCAAATACCACATCACGTATGGGAGGACCTGCCTTAACCCACCTCGCCGTCTTCCGGCAAATAACAGAAGCCGTTTCTGCGAGCTACAGGAGAGGACAATCAGCCCCCACCCCACCCACGGCCGATTTTGCACTGCTACCTCTGGCTCTGCAGCAGCCCCCACCCCACCCACAGCCTCAAGGGGGGGGGGATGGGAGGGGGTCGGCTTGTACCCCATCGCCCTACCCAACTCTCACAGCTGCCCCAAAGCCGGCTGCCCGTCAGCAAAAGCAAGCTACCTACAGGAGGAACGAAAACGGGCCAGCAGCACCAAGCTACCTTTGCCCGGCACCAGCCCCCGCCCCACCCACGGCCTCAGCGGGGGGCGGAGGGGGCTTGTACCCCATCTTCCTGCCCAGCTCTGAGAGCTGCTCCACAAACTGGCTCCCTGCCAGCATCTCAGTCGTCCCATACACCACCGTGCGCACCCCCGCCGCCCCGCCCCCGGCCCCTGCTTTCCTCGCCATCTCCTGCAACCCCCCGTACTCCATATAGTTCCCTCCCCCAATCACGAACACTATCGCGTCCCTCACTGCCCCTCTGCTGCCCCCTGCTGCCGTGCTGCTGCTGCCCCCCTTGGGGGCCTTGGGGTCCAGGCAGAGAAAGGAATCTGTATCCTGCCCGGGGCGCCCTTCCATCAGAGCTTCAACTGCCCGGGTCAGCTGCAGCTGCCTGCCCCCAGCCAAAAGATTCTTTACACCTGCGGTCACGCGGGACAAACTCTGCCCAGCCAGCCGGCCGGCCCAATCCAGCAGATCGTCCTTGCTGCCCGCCATGCCCCCAACGCCCCCCCCTCCTCCTCCCCCACCCCCCGCCGCAGCCACCGCAGCAAAGCTGGAGTTGACCCGCTTCACCTGCTTGATATAATGCAGAGCGGCTAGATCCACCCCCTGCTCCCTCAGCGCCGCTTCAACCGCCTCCACATCCCCCGCACTCGCATTGTCCGTCGCCATCAGGTAGATAATCGCCAGGCGTAGCTTATCCTCCCTGGACCCCCGCTTCCGGAGTAAGTCGAGCATCGCCGCCCGGTCGGTGCTGCCCCGGGTGAGCAGGTCTTCCTCCATGGAGAAGTAGGCGTCGAGCGCACGCGACTTGATCTCCTCCAGGAGTGTGCCGCCGATGGTGACGTGCTTGTCGATGACGCGCTTGCGCTCCATCAGCTGTGGCACCGCGCTCATGGCGGCCGACAGCTGCTTGGTGCGCCCCATCAGGTCCTCGTCCTCTGCCTCGGAGAATGCATCGCCTGTGGGGGAGGCTGCGTTGACCTGTTCTTTGTCTTGGGTCCACTTCTTGAGTAACATGTCGACCTGAAGAGGGGGGAACAGGGGATGTTGGAGGGTTGGCAGTCAAGCGGGGTGCGAATGACCCGCTTTTTTATGACCCGCTTGCGCTCCATCAACTGCGGCACGGCGCTCATGGGAAACACATGTTTGTCGAAGACTTGCCTTCGCTCCATCGGATGTGGCGTGGCACGGCGCTGGGCTCACAGCCGCCTGAAAGGAAGGGGATGCAGGGGATCGGGGCGAAAGAGATATGAAAGAGATATGAAAGAGATATGAAAGAGATATGAAAGTATGGCACACCCCTCAAGGCTGCGCAGAGCTGCCTTCTGCACTTGATCAGGTCGCCGTCCTCCCCTGCCTCGGGAAAGGCGTCCCCTGTGGGGCTTGCTGCGTTGACCTTCTCCATGCCCTGCACCCACTTCTTTGGGAGCATGTCGACCTGGCGTAGGGGAGAAACGGGGGCGGGAAATTGAGACGCAAGGGCTCGAGAACAAAGGAATCAACCAAACAGTGCTGCACTTGCTCCTGGTCATGGACCCACTCGTTGAGTGGAGGGCCATTTCCACCTGGGGGAGCAGAGCGAGGTGAACGAAGGGACAGCAAGGAAGCAGGAGCGGAGGAGGGAGGCGAACCAAGGCACACTGGGGATTCAATTTCCCCACATGAATTCCAACCATGCCGAACCTTCATCCAGATCACAGCACTGCATTCAACCCCACTCCACCGCACTCACCGCCTCTGCCGCCTTAGGAAACGGCGACTCTGAATGCGCCACCCAGAAGCTATCCGAATCATCAAGCTCATAACTAGTCGCCTTGCCAGCACCGCCCCCACCAGCGCCCTTCAGCACCGGAGACAGCGGCCCGCTCCCGGCCCCCGCTCCTCCCCAGCGCCTCCCTTGTGGATGCTCACTCGGTTGAGCTTCATCCCCAGCACGTCGTGCACCAACGGCCGGTACGTCCACTCGTGCTGCACCCCCACCGCCAGCTCGAAGTTCCTATCCGCTATGAATAGCAACGGCCGCTGGAACAGCCCCAGAGCCCCCCCCACCCCCCTCCCCCTGCTCCACCCCCGCTCCCCCTCCCCCGACGCCACCGCTGCTGCTCCTGCTGCTAGCGCCCCAGCCGCTGCTTCCTTGAAGAGGTTGTTATGCGTGGCGAGGTGCGCCCTTAGCTTGGCGTCCAGCTGCCTGGCCACCATCTCAGCCGGCCCTCTCTCGGGGCACCGAATCACCGGCACCACCCCCAGCGTCACCAGCACGCAGAACAGCCCGTTAACAATACTCTCCACCGCCCCCTCCACGTCCTTATCCTTTGCCATTGGGTCGTTCAACCGCACATAACTCTCGGGCTGCCCGAGCGAAAACAACCCGTGGTCAAGACACACAAACTCGGAGTACTGGTCAAAGACCCGCGCCACGCGGTGCAGAGCGTTGGCTTTAAGAGTGCCCGCAGCCAGGTCCTCCAGGAGCAGGCGCGGCACGGAGGCGGTGAAGTTGAGGTGCATCTTGTCGTACGTGCCGCGGGTGGCGTCCTGGATGACCCGCTGGATATTGCCCGGGTGGCTTGTACGAAATAGACAGCTGGCACATCAGGAATGGGCTGGCGGTCGGCGTCGACCATCAGGTGCAGGGTGATGCCATGCTTTCGCAGATCGGACACCTGAGAGGAGGGGAGAGGGGAGGGGTGGCACAGAGGGGGCATGTCAGGGATGGGCTGCCTGCCGACTTCAACCATCAGGAATGGGCTGGCAGTCCGCGTCGACCATCAGGTGCAGGGTGGTGCCGTGCTTGCGCAGGTCAGAGACCTGAAGGGAGGGAGGTAGCAGAGGGGAGCACGAGTGGGGGCAGAGGGGTGGAGAGGGGGGAGGGGAGGGAAAGAGAAGGGGAGGGGAGGGAAAGAGAAGGGGAGGGGAGGGAAAGGGAGGGAAGGGGAACGCAGCAGGTGCACGGAGGCAGTGAAGTTGAGGAGCATATTGTTGTAGGCGACGCGGGTGGCGTCCTGAGTGTCCCGCTGGATGTTGCCCGGGTGGCCTGCAGGATGTAGACGGCCGGCATGCCGGGGATGGGCTGCCTGCCGGGGTGGCCGTGCTTGCGGAGGTCAGAGACCTCAAGGGAGGGCAGTGGAAGGGGAGAGAGGGAATCTGGATGACTTGCTGGATGTTGCCCGGAGCGGCCTGTACGAAGAAGACCGCTGGCACGCGAGGGATGGGCTGGCAATCGGCGGTCACCATGAGGTGCAGGGTGATGCCGTGCGTGCGCAGGTCAGATATCTGTAGGACGAACAAAGGGCGCGGAGGGAAAGAGGAAGTAGACGGCTGGCACGTTAGGGATGGGCTGGCTATCGGCGGCCAGCATCAAGTGGGGCGTGATGCCATGCGTTCGCAGATCGGATTCCTGAGAGGTGGAAGGTAAGGAAGGAGAGGGATGGATGTAGACCGCTTAGCGTACAGCAGTTGATGTCTCACCTTGAGCACCGAGCCTCGCCTTGAGCAGAGAAGAGATGAAGTGTGTGGAGTACTTGCCCAGCAGCACCTTGTGCTCGCCACCGACTGAAGCGGAAGATGAGGACTCGCCTTGTTACCTGAGCTCACCTCAAGACACCCAGGACTCACCTTTAGAAGTGGCGATATGAGGTCTCTGGAGGAATTGCCAAGCAGCAGCACCTTGTACATGCCACCTTCTGAAAGTAGATATGAGATAACACAATCACATTCGCTCTTTAATGCCACCTTCAGTAGCGGCGAAAGGAGGTCTCACCTTAAGCAGCGGCGAGATGAGGTCTCGGGAGTATTTATCCAGCAGCAGCACTTTGTACACGTCACCGTCTGACGTGGAAGGGCCGCCCATCGTGACTGTAACGGGGCTGTTGAGATTGAGCATGCGAATGATGGTGTCTGGTGTCGTGAAGGGTGGGGAGGGGTGAGGAGGGGTGAGGAGGGGTGAGGAGGGGTGGGTAAGGGTAAGCGATGGCAACAAGGCGAGGGGCATGTGATGGGGAGTGGCGTGCGGAGGTGTCTAGCGGCAGGCGGCGTTGTCCAGCGGCCGGTGATGGCCGAATGGCATGTATTGCTCGACTAAGAGAGCACGGAAGCACGCCACGGGGGATGCGAGCGGAACGATCGTTACTAGGTCACGATACCTACGAGGTTACGAGGTTACGACGTTACGAGGTTACGAGGTCACGAGGTCACGAGGTTACGAGGTTGCTATCGCTCGCCAGAATGAACCAACGATACGAACTATGGCCACGCGTGACTAATTCCCCCTAGCACAGCGTGAACCAACGATACCGTCTAATTATGGCCACGTGCAACTATTTCTACGTGTAGCGCAGCGTGAATCTGACTTTCGAGTCGACGCAAAAGTCACCTTGAACCAACGATACCGTCTAGCTATGGCAACTCATTCCACCTATCACAGCGTCAATCTGGCGACGGCAAGCATTGGCGAAACGCCACTCTCCAATCACGAGCCAGCGAAAAGTTTTCAATCAGCGCGACTCGGCAGGTGCGACTCACATCGAGTCCCCACTGCGATCTCTCACCTCTCAGTGAAATCCATGATGTGAACAAACCAAGAGCCCCCTTGCTCTCACCTCACAGTAAGGCCCATGTGAACAAACCAAGAGCCCCCTAGCTCTCACCTCACAGTAAGGCCCATGTGAACAAACCAAGAGCCCCCTAGCTCTCACCTCACAGTAAGGCCCATGTGAACAAACCATGTGAACAGCTCAGGAGCCCCCTAGCTCTCACCTCACAGTGAAATCCACGTGAACGGCCCAAGACCCCGCCACCCCTCACCTATCTGCTTCTGGCGCAGCGAGAGCGCCATGGCGACGCCTCTCTGCTGGCAAGCCCAAGGCCGAACAGAATCGAAGTCTAGAAAACCAGGACGCGGATATGCGCGGATTCTTGCAATACACTACGACGTGATGACTGTACGTATTGTAAGGACCGTAAGGACTGACGCGCGCCAAACACGCTCGCCGCTTCCCCTTCACTGATACTACAGGTCCGAGAATCAATGGCTGATCGGCTAATAGTGCTAAGCAATCCTTATCAATCGCCGATCGGAGCTCGTTATCAGCGCAGTCCTTTGAGAGACGCTCCTCCAGTTTCCGGAGCTCCTTCGCCCGGATGGGGAGATGGACGAAAGCGAGCGGAGAGCGAAAGCGAAGGAACCTAGGATACCAAGGAGCGACTCTCTGAAACGTTGGATCGAATAATAATCGGCAAATCCCGAGGAGAGTGTTCAGGAGTCACGAACGACGGAGATCCGAACAGAGTGGGTCTTGAAATTGCTTTCCCGCTAACGCACTCAACCGATAGGCCCGTGCCGTGAATCCGGTCAACTCTGACACTCCGCATTCGCGTTAGTAGAGTTCCCGGCGTTGAAATCCACATCAGGCACCACCAGTTCCAGCTCTCCTCTACTTCTATTTCAGTAAAGTCCCAAACGCAACAAACGTTTGCACATAAGGTATGGCTTTGGGGATGCTATGACTTTTTTCCACAAAAGAGGAAAAAAGAAAACTTGGCACCAAGTTCCACTCAAAGCATTCGGTAAGCATTGTGGCATTCCCATCTTTGCAGGCCGCAATTTAAAGGCAATTCTAGTATTACAAGACTACGTGAAGTGGGTCAAGCAAGTTGTGGTATTACATGGGGCAAAGGGAAGCGTGTTTGGCGCTATCATGGCTTCCGTGGTGAGAATGAAAGGTTTGTGGAAGGGCCCATGCCTGAAATCGGCTTCAATAAATAATGCTCGATAGCCCACCTGCGCAGGAGAGCATACGTGGAATGAAGACGGGATGACGGGGTTCAGAAGAAGCAAGCGAATGGGGAGAGGAAAAAGGCGGGGTGGGAAGAGGAAATTGTAACAACAAAGTGCTCCAAACATCCTGCGACTGTGGTGCTCCGTCCATTATTAAAACAAACACTCACATGGTGCTCTACAGCCCCATGAGCATTAACCTGAGCACCAAAATTCACTTCACTCACCTTGGGAATGTCTTGGATTGTGGAGCTGAAGTGCCAGAGGCCATCCCCTTGCGCTGTAGGCGGTGTGACTGGGTGCAGGAGGAACGGAATGGGCTGCATGCACAGTGTGCCAAACTTCGCCACATAGTCGGGAGGCGAACTCTTGAAGGGAACAGTGCTGAAGCGGGGGAGAGCAGGGAGAATGGAAGGAAAACGAGTACTGAGGAACCAGCGTGTAATGAGTCGATTTTTGAGTCGACTCATTACACACTGAGGAAACCTCAAGAAGAGATTGTTGACAGGAACAGCGCTGGAGAGCGGGCAGGCAGGGAGAATGAGGAGCCGGAGAAGGAATCTGTTGGAGTTGAATGGGGAGGTGAGGGTGGAAGATATGCCACTCATCAAGCATACATCGCTCACAGACAGACAGACCCCCTACCACGTACAAGAACTATTATGAGGCCCCTCAAAAAGATATACCACTCAGCAAACGTACATACATCACATACAAAAGACCCCTTACCAAGTACAACACCACATGCACATGACCCGCCTACCAAGTTCACAATACTGGAGACTAGACAGATTGTATACAAGAACAAAGACTTCTCTGCCATGCACTCACCACCCTGTGAGCCCCTGCTTCACTATGAACCGGAAATCCCTGCGCTTACTGCCAAGAATGGTGCGTCCCGTCCTGCCAGGGGAGAGAAAGCAGAGGCGAATGGAACGAGTTGAATGGAAGAGAGCTCTGACAGAGGCCAAAGAAGGAGGCTCTCGGTGCTCATGGCCAAAAACGGGGCGCCGTGTGCTGGCACGCAGGAGAGGGCCAAAAGGGATTCTGGAGGCGGTGGGCAAAAAAGGATGCACAGAGATGGGCTTGTGTTTTGTGGCACTGAGGTGGCTCACACACACCGACGTGGCTCTCACACACCGACGTGGCTTACACACACCGACGCGGCTCTCACACACCGACGTGGCTCACACACACCGACATGGCTCACACACACCGACGTGGCTCACACACACCGACGTGGCTCACACACACTGAGGTGGGCCTCCACCTTCCACTCCGACAGGCCCCTCTTCCCCCACTCTCTCCCTCTTTCCCCCCTCCCCCTCCCAATCCCTTTCCCCATCCACCTCACCGTCCCCCTTACCTCCCCCCTCCCACCCCCCCACCCCTTCTCTCACCACGCTCTAACAGCCAATGGCTTCCTGTCTGACGTGGCATGGATGGTAAACGTGGACCAATCAAACTGCCACCTCATCTGAGGCCAGTCAACAGCTGGCAGTCTGGGCACGCAGCCCCAAGGGGGGGTCTGCGCTGCTGCCACTGCTGCTCCCACCGCTGCCCCCACTGCTGCTGCCTCTGCCTCTGGGAGATCCGACGGATGTGAGTCGTGAGTGGAGGATGGGGTGGGGGTGGTGGGGGTGGTGGGGGTGGTGGGGCGGGCCCAGGTGAGGGAGGGCCGGGAGGAGGCGGGGAGAGAGGCACAGGAGGAGTTGGCGTGGAGGAGAGAGGAGAGGAAGGAGATGGACGCATCGTAGGCCTGCAGAGAGGGGGAGTCGGGAAGAGAGAAAGGGAGGGGGAAAGGGAATGGGAAAGGGAATGGGAAAGGGAGGGGGAAAGGGAATGGGAACGGGAGGGGGAAAGGGAATGGGAAAGGGAGGGAGAAAGGGAGGGGGAAAGGGAATGGGAAAGGGAGGGGGAAAGGGAGGGGGAAAGGGAGGGGGAAAGGGAGGGGGAAAGGGAGGGGGAAAGGGAGGGAGAAAGGAGGGGGAAAGGGAGGGGGAACGGGAGGGGGAAAGGGAGGGGGAACGGGAGGGGGAAGGGAGGGGGAAAGGGAGGGGGAAAGGGAGGGGGAAAGGGAGGGGGAAAGGGAGGGGGAAAGGGAGGGGGAACGGGAGGGGGAAGGGAGGGGAAAGGGAGGGGAACGGGAGGGGGAACGGGAGGGGGAACGGAGGGGAACGGGGGGGAAATGGAGGGGAAAAGGGAGGGGGAAAGGGAGGGGGAAAGGGAGGGGGAACGGGAGGGGGGACGGGAGGGGGAACGGGAGGGGGAACGGGAGGGGGAACAGGAGGGGGAAAGGGAGGGGGAAAGGGAGGGGGAAAGGGAGGGGGAACGGGAGGGGGAAAGGGAGGGGGAAAGGGAGGGGGAAAGGGAGGGGGAAAGGGAGGGGAAAGGGAGGGGAAAGGGAGGGGGAAAGGGAGGGGGAACGGGAGGAGGAACGGGAGGGGGAACGGGAGGGGGAACGGGAGGGGGAACGGGAGGGGGAAAGGGAGGGGGAAAGGGAGGGGGACCGGGAGGGGGAAAGGGAGGGGGAACGGGAGGAGGAACGGGAGGGGGAACGGGAGGGGGAACGGGAGGGGGAAGGCTGATGGAGGAGACGAATGAGATGCGAGGCACGGTGAGTGAGAAGCATACAAGGGAGGCTCATACAAGGACGCGAGTGTGCAGCACGGTTTAGAACGGAACGCGAGAAAGAAACGCATGACTCATGGAATCAGAAGGACAAGTAGAAGGACGAGGAGGTTGGAAGGAGATGGGAGTTTCACACACTGAATAGAACATACAAAAGCCTTAACCGAATCACATGGAAATCGAGTGAGACAACAGAAAATGGTTGCAGTGAAAGGGAACAGCGCTGGGCGATATCCTGCCCGATACCATGAGCAGGTGTGAAGGGACCAGCGAGCTAAGTAAGCCGTGAGAGAAAACTGTTGCACAATACCTGATGTATCAAGATTACTCGTAGCAGGAAGGGGGGGTTGGAAGGGGAGGTTGGAAGGGACGGCCCACCAACACCAAGCTGGCTGGGAAGCAACTCATCAAAGCTGCGAGTGGCAACCAGCCAAGTGGGCTAGTTGGCCCTCCATCACCTCTTGTAAGCCGGCCTTACCCAAGTGCGCCAGATTGCAACTTGGATGGAGCCCAACCAAACTACGTTGAGTTGGCCAACCGTGGCTGGGTTGGTGTACATTCATGGGGTGACTCAACCTTGCTTCATAGCATTGGGATACCTAACCAGGGCAATCTCCCAACGTACCAACTGGAACATATGGATGACGATGGTTGAAGCAACTGTCTTGGGGCGATGACGGGGGATGGACAAGTGCAGCGGCGTGCAGGACAGGAGAGCATGGGAAGGGCACTGGGCCACACGTACCCACTGGGCTACAAGTACCCACTGGGCCACACGTATCCACTGGGCCGCACGTACCCACTGGGCCGCACGTACCCACTGGGCCGCACGTACCCACTGGGCCGCACGTACCCACTGGGCCACACGTATCCACTGGGCCACACGTACCCACTGGGCTGCACGTACCCGCTGGGCTGCATGTACCCACTGGGGCGCACGTACCCACTTATGCATGGGCAGTCGAGGCGAGTAAAAACTCGACTCGATTGCTCGACTCGTTTTTTCCGAGTAACGAGTCGGCACCCCCTGGAAATTACTCGCCCCGAGTCGAGTCGAGTTAACTCGTCGAGTAAACGAGTACTCGACTGTTACTCGTCTCATTTGGGCGAGTAAAAATTACTCGCGAGCAACAACTCCGCGCGTGCACTGATATTCCTCACACATAGCATGCATGCCAAGTCATCTTGGGCTGGCCTAATGATTCAGACCCCTAAAATGCTCCCCTCCTAAACTGTGACTGTTCGGGGAGGGGGGGCAAAGAGCCCCGAGGCGAGTAAAGCTTGCCTCAGGGCGAGTAAAAATTACTCGCCCCGAGTAAAACGTTTACTCGGCCCAAAAACGAGTAAACGAGTCGGGTTCTTGGCAAAAAAACTCGACTCGAGTAATGCTCGACTCGCCTCCCAAGAGGGTCGAGTCAGAATTACTCGGAGCAAGTAATGCTCGACTCGCCTATTGCCCATGTTTATACCCACTGGGCCATAGGTACCCACTGGGCCGCACGTACCCACTGGGCCACACGTACCCACTGGGCCACACATACCCACTGGGCCACACATACCCACTGGGCCACACGTGTTGAAATATAATATTATATACAACATGCATGACTAGAATAGGAGGTGTAGACATTAAATTTATTGGGGGGAAGTTGGTTGGGATCACCAACCACAATTTGGTTGGTCAAGATTGGATTTGGCCTTGGTCCTTTAGTTGGCACTTTCCAACCAAATGGTCCCAAGGCTCCACCAATCCGCAACCACCACACCTTGGGGTTGCTTCCCCTCCAAGCTACCTCTCCCATTGGCCACTATTGTAGCCAATAGGAGTGCCTTCCGTTCCAACCATTCCTTGCTCCTTGGTTG